CTTCTACCCGCTCTCCATTCACACGGTTCTCATAGAATAGGTTGAAGGACAGGTAACCCTTTGTCCCACACATCCTTCAGTACATTTTTCGTGAATTTTATTTACTATTTACTGCTTTCTTGTCCTTCTACTCTAGAGTTGAACATGTTTGACTTGGAGCAGTTTTATTATGTTCAGTGACATTCTAAGAATTTTTCTTGAAAGCAGGTCAGTGATGATAACGTAGGCTAAAAAAGGACTCGTGTTGGTTTGTTCTTAGTATGATAAGTAGAAAATCTAGTCATGTCACGATCGACAGGTACCAAATATGAATTTTAATCACTCATAAGAGTAAAAACTGTCCCCCATATCAGGATTTGGAATCTGGATAACCTTGACATTCTCTGAGAACTATTACTATTTCCCACAGACCAACATGAGTCCTTACAGTATGTTTTGTACTCACTCACATGCATATTAGAAAAATTCCCAAGAGGTCACTCAACACGAGTGACTTTCAATTCTTTTAAACATTTCTTAGTCATCTTATATTCAGGATCGTTTTTATTCAGATATGACCTAATCATTATTGAACACAAATCATGATAAAAATTGAGACGGTTATTTAATTATAGAGGTCAATTCACGAAATCGAAAGTGGAACGATGATCCATTCATGATTAAAAAAAAAAAAATCATCCGACTCGAGCACAAATCAAACGAACAAACTAAGATCGAAAGAGAGAGAGAAAAAGAAAGCACTGACATGGTCAAGAAGGGTACAATGCATAATAATCAACTTTTGAGTTAGTCCTTCCTTTGAGCTATGAATTAGATTCTATAATCTTTCCCAATAAAGTTATCACTTTAGTTTAAAATTTTTAATTTATATATATATATATATATATATATATATATATATTTGTCACCATTAAAATTAATATTGTAATAATTTAAACTTTATAGGGTTTTTATTCAATTTAATCGAGGATCATGACGCATACTTCTCCATTAATATTTTAATTATTTTGTTATTTTTTTAGAAAAATAAACTATAATTATATAATGTTTGGGACTTTTTAAAACTAGGTTCATTGTATTTATTTTTAAATAATAAGTGAAAATTGAAAAACATGCCTTCATTATTATTTTTTATAATTTTTTATAATATTTTTAAAAAATAATAAATTTAAATTTAATTTGGATGAAAACTGGATATAATTTTTACCATTTTATCATTTATTTATATATATATATATATGAAAATCTTAGATTATTTAAAATAAAAAATGATTTAGTATATTTATTTTTAAAAACGGCTCGACAAAGGTTGCTTTCAGCTAGTTGGGTCGAATTCAAATATTCTTTTTAGTAACTTTTATTAAATAATAAGTCGAGTCCAACCCAACCAAACTATAAATTTTAGATTTAGTTGGTTCGGGATATTTGAGTCCTTTATTCAAATTTTTATTTCTTCTATTTTTCTTATTTTAATATTTAAAAAATAATAATTTTAAATAATCCATGTGAATTAATACAAGTTGATAAACTTAAATTTTGGACTCGTTGGAGGCGTAGGTTTGAATGGATTAGAACAAATACGAATAGTATATGGTTTAAAAAAGGAATAATATAATATAGTACAAAAAGCATATATTATATCATATATTAATCTAAATTATGCCCACTTCATATAAAGTTAGGGGACATGAAAACTTTATAAAAGTATTACATTACATATGTTTGTATAGTTGCCAAAGGTATCTAATTTGAATATTATTAATGTAATGGCAAAGGGGAGGATCCTAAACGTCTATATAGGGAAGGTGTAAAGCACAACAAAAAGTGTCTTTCAAGTGAGCTATGGCGTCGTCCTATCAAAACCCTAGAGTTTTAGGGTTGTATCGGTAAATTCATGAATTTTTACAAATATTTAATATTGACATATTCGTGATAGAGCTTGTGTAACAACCCAAGTCCATTTTCACACTTTTATAAAAAATGTTTCGTTTCTCTCTCAAACTGATGTAATATCTTACAATTCACTCCCCCTCGAGACCCAGTGTCCTCGTTAGCACATTGCTCGACGTCCCCCCCCCCCCTTTTTGGGGCTCAACGTCTTCGGACTCTTGCGCACGCCCAATGTCCACCCCCTTCAGGGCTCAGCTTCACACTGCCCAGTATTTGACTCTGATACCATTTGTAATAACCCAAGCCCACCGCTAGCCAATATTGTCCAACCTATAAAATTCAAGGGTATTTTTATTCATTTAGTCCAAACACGAGAACTAGATAAACATAACTTTTAAGACTGAAATGAATATATTTAAAACACGAACGTTTAAAATAAGTAAAACGACGACGTTTTTTTACGGACATTGGGGACGGTTAAAAGTGAAATTAGAGAAGGAATGGTTGGTTTGGTATATATATGTTATAAAAGAGATTATTATATATAATGCCTATTTTCTACATAGGGTAATGTAATAGCTGGAAAAGGGTCTTTTTTGCAAGGCAACAGCTATATTAACAAAAAGAATAACTTTTCTTCCATATATTTTTTCTCCAAAATAAGGAAATTTGTCCCTAAAGTATTCATCTCCCATTTACATCTTTCCATAATTGCCCTTTACACAAAAGGAAAGTTAGGGTGTTTTAAATAATTTCAAATTCATACTTTTAACATCAACTTGGATTATATATATATATACTTATAGAATAATTCAAATATAGTTGAGCTATGTTCATATTGATTATGTACAATATCATACAGTTTGTATAGAGATATGTAGAGAGTCATCTTTCTAAATCATTGGTACCGAGCCATATCCTTTGACTTAGTCGTATTGGTAGAATCTAACAAGAAGTCATGAGCCTCGTAGATGTAGCTATGGTGAAGATTTGTGATTCGGGGAGGCTCGGTCGTACTTCGTTTGAGGAATATAATTTAACGTTTTTGTTGATATAAAATAATGTTACGAGAACTTAGATATATCATACCATAATTCCGAACAAATTTCTTACCAAATTAATACTAACCCTGAAAACTGATACTCACGAAAATTAACTGAGTAGCACTTGGCAGACATGCACAGATGTTGAGTATCAATTTCAAGTCATTTTGGCTTGTTTCATGGCTTTAATGACATCTAGTTGCCTTGTTCAATATCAACTTTCGTTTAAGGTTTGACACATGAATTACCTGATCTTAGCTCACGAGTAGCTCGCGATTTCGCTTACAAATATATTTTGAAGACATTAACAGGCAAGAAATCCAAAAATGAATAATAGTTGTCTTCTTAAGAAATTTCTCGAGAAATGACAACTAACTAACTAGTTGTCAATCTAGCTTCTTAATTAAGCTACCAAAATCAAGAAAAAATCAACGGAGTAACAACTAAGAACGATAAGGGAAAAAAAAACCCCTAAATCGCGTTTATAACAATTTCACGTATTAGTTCAGATCATTCTATCAATCTCCTCGAGCATCAAAACAAGACCTAATTTTGCAAAAAAAACACAAAGGGGAAGGCCATTGTTGTCAAAGAAATAAATACGGGGAATCCCATTTATTTTTGTTGTATTTTCTCTGGAATAGAATGAGGATCAAACCTTCTGAATCTTCTCGTGCTCATCTACTTTTGAAAAGACTTAGAGAATATATGGATAAATTAACGAGCGGTTCTACCATTTTTGGTAAGGTCATCATAACATAGTTGAGAGGATAAATATTAATTATCATTTCAAAAATTGATGGTTCGATTATCACTTCTGCCATTCATTGTTGAACTCAAAAAACCGAAAAAAAATTACCATTAATCTTTTTATTATTAATAAAAAAAAAGTTAAAATATTTAAATTAGTTTTTTTTTTTTTTTTTTTGGGTAATATGACGTGAAACGAGCCTTAGATTGATCATAGAAGGTTAGGACTCGAGGTCGAAGTTCAATGTTTAGTCCTAAACCTACCCTAAAGGTTGAGCCCTAGGTCAAGGCGTGCAACATGTGTGTCTCAATCAAACATGACCACGTCTCGACCATTTTCTTGAGCGTTGAACTATGGGGGTTAGTCAAGGCAAAAATTTCACCCTTTTTTCTTAGTCCCTAACGGAAGCATCTAAAAAATTGTTTAAGTTAGTCCACACTATTTCACGATTCATTTGTGTTTACAAGCCTAACTGTTCATGTGAGATCCCATATCGGATAGAGAGAGGAACGAAACATTCCTTATAAGTGTATGAAAATCTCTCTCTACTAGACGCGTTTTAAAATCATGAGGCTGACGACAATATGTAATGGATAAAAGCGGGTAATATCTGTTAGTGATGAACTTAGGTTATTACAAATGGTATAAGAGTTACACGCTGGGCAGTATACCAACGAGAACATTGGCCCTCAAGAGAATGAATTGCAAGATCCCATATGGGGTGGAGAGAAAAACGAAACATTTCTTATAAGGGTATAGAAACTTTTCCATAGTAGACGCATTTTAAAACCGTGATGCTGACAACAATACGTAACAAGCAAAAGCAGACAATATCTATTAACGAGCCAGACATCGAGCAGAATGCTAGCAAAGATGCTGAGTTGTGAGATCTCATATCGTGTCGAGAGAGGGAATGAAGCATTTCTTATAAGGGTGTCAAACCACCTCCCCTAGTAGACACGTTTTAAAACTATGAAGTTAACGACCATACGTAACGGGTAAAAAACGATAATATCTACTGACGGTGAGGTTGAATTGTTTTCGTGTAATACAAATTTAGAGCGGACGAAAGTAAGCGTGTTTATGCTGGCAAAACCAACAACATAGAAGGGATCTTCTTGGTTGGATATTTTCCCATTTTATTCCATAGTTTTGTTTTTGTGTCAAAAACAAAACACATAATTTTTTCCAAAAAGAAAAAAAAGTTAATTTAATTTTTTTTTTTTGTATAATTAAAAAAAGAAAAAAAAAATCGTCACTTTTTGAAGCCCTACAAATTCCCCCCTTCACCCCTTCATCTTCCCCACATGCCCTTTTTCAATTCCCCTCTTTCTCTCTCCTCCTCTGTTCTCCAAAACCTTCATTTTAATGGCGACCATGGTTTACAGAAGCTTACAATCATGTCTCGACTCCCATCTCGTAGACCAAAGAACCCTAATTTTCCCACCCTTTGATCCTCCTTTAAAGCCCCCTTTTTCCGACCCATCTAAATTCTTAATCCATTCCGATCAATGCGGCGGCGGTAACGGCGGAGACTGGCCTTCAGTACAATCTCTCCTTTCCGGCGAGAATCCGGTGAGGAAATCGGAATCGGTGTATGTCCATCCACTTGCTAAACGGTTCAACCTGACCGGCCTGAGCGAAAAAAGCTTGGAGCTCTGTACTGAAAATTTGGGTAATGAAACCGGCATCGATATAATCGAGAATACCATTTTCTCGCCGGAGACCGGCGGTGAGGATTTGCAGACAAAATGGGGAAAAAAATCCCATTCCTTTTCCCATTCCAATTCCCATGAATTTCCACCGCCGTTGACGACTATAAGAGAAACAGAGTCGTTTAGGGTCATGCCCCACCGGGAAGAAGGGAGGCTGATAATTTCGGCGGTGATAACTCCAGCGAGGTCGCCGTGTTTTCAGGCGGAGAGAAGCGGCGGTCGGCTAAGGCTATGTTTTGTGGAAACAGAGGAAAGTGAAGAAATTGACGGCGGCGATGAGGAGGAGGAGGAGGAGGAGGTCGGAAAAGAAACGGCGACGGCGATGTTGGTGAATGAAGGAAATTTGGATCAATTTAGTATTGCTACTTGTTGAGTGTATACCCATCTCGTATTTAAAATCACTTCGAACATCACCACAGCTATCGAGAATGGATACCCATCTTGTTGAGACATGTAAGGGCTAATTCGTCTTTTTCAAATTTTAAAATTCGATTCTTCCAATTATACTCGTGGGACTTTCGAAAATATCATTACTATGTCGGTTATGATGATAAATAGGAACCAAAGTTAATGGTTAAGATATTTAAAATACTTCAAAAATTATTTATATATATATATATATAAACTAACTCAAAAATCTTTTAAATACAAAATACGAATAAATTATGGAAATCATATGTTATTGAACTTATGGATAAGTACCAAAAAAAAAAATTAATAAAAGAAAATTTTAAATATTCTTTTATTATTATTATTATTTTGTAAATAAATAAATATATATATAAATACAAAATACGAATAAATTCTTGAAATTATATGTTATTGAACTTAAATAACAGGAAGAATTAATAAAAGAAAATTTTAAATATTCTTTTATTATTATTATTATTTTGTAAATAAATAAATATATATATAAATACAAAATACGAATAAATTCTTGAAATTATATGTTATTGAACTTAAATAACAGGAAGAATTAATAAAAGAAAATTTTAAATATTCTTTTATTATTATTATTATTATTTTGTAAATAAATAAATAAATATATATATAAATACAAAATACGAATAAATTCTTGAAATTATATGTTATTGAACTTAAATAACAGGAAGAATTAATAAAAGAAAATTTTAAATATTCTTTTATTATTATTATTTTGTAAATATATATATAAAAAGATACAAATACGAGAAATTTTATGGGTTGAAATATATTAATAATTATAGGTGAAATTAATAAAAGAAAAATTCAAATATTCTTTTATTATTATTATTATTATTTTGTAATTTCGGTGATAAATATAAGAACTCAAACTGTCCTTAAAAAGGGAAAAAAAACAAAGTTTTTAATTATAATTTCATCAAATATATTTTTTAATTAAAAAATATATATATAATTTAGTCCACGAAGACAATTGATTTTGAGATTGTTTTATTTATAATTTTTTTTCCTATTAAAATCTTTTAAATTATTCCGTCCATGAAGCTATATTTATTTGATCCAATCTACTACTTGATTACAAACCAATAACGAATCTCCACGTGTATTTTTCTAAATATTTATTATTTACAAAATGGCAGCTTATTTTGCTCTGTAAAACAAATTACCATAAAACAAATTACCATAAACAAATTACCTAAAATTCTTAATCCAATTGGAATTTTGATTTTAATTTTTATATTGCAAAAAAAAGTTATAAATTCAATTTAAATTGATTTTCTTAATTCAGTTATATCTAATCTTATATTAAAAAAATATTTAATTTGATAAATTCGTAATTTCTTTTTTCAACTTCAAGGTTTTCGAACCACATTTTTCCTCAGCTACAAACACTAAGAAAAAGCAATTGAGAAAGAGTATCTATCCCTAAAGTGTAAACTATATTTCATTCCATGTATCACGATAATATAACCTTATCACGCATTTAGATTTATTTTCTTAAAGAAAAAAAATATATTTAAAAAAAAATAATAAGAAAGGTTCTAGATAATAATAATAAAAAAAAAAATTATTAAGAAAAGGAAAATAATTGCTTACTTGAGACTAAGAATGTGCAATTTATAAAGCTTTTTACTTACATTTTTCAAGTAAATCCAATATTGCATCACAATATCCTTCAAAACTTTTTTCCCTCTCCTCTTCCTCTCTCCTTTTGTCTCTTTTATGAAAGTGAAAAACAGAGTCAAATTAATAGTTCTAACAAAAACAACGATATTAATTACTTGCTAAATTTAAAAAAAGAAAATTCATAGAAGGATATATGACCGTAAAATGTTTGTGACTATCTTTCTATCATAATCTATTACTTATTGAAGAGTTGTCTAGAAAAGGTCGTAAATAAGGGTAAAACTAGATCAAACTTGACTAAGAGCAATCTTAAGAATATGATTGCAAAAAAATACTAAAAAAAAAATGGAAAATTACTATATATATTAATAAAGTGCACTTTTTTAGGTAACTCAATCATATGAACACTCGTGGCTTATGAATTTATATAAATTCACAGGTTTGTTGAACTGCTTAAGGAATCAAAATCTAAAGTTGATGACAATATTTCAAACCTGGAAGCTGTTGTTTGTGGTATGTCAATCATTGAGAAGATCAGACAGAAGAGGCTTACAATAAATTTTCATAAATAGCATAGAAGATAATAGGAACCACTGACACCGAGTGTGGCGGGGAGGAGGAGGAGGATGCAAATATTAATAATCAAGTGAAAGAAATGTAAACATACGACTTTCGTTGTGACATTGTGGCTCTGTGCTGAGATCATGAACAAGATTTGTGGAGCACCCACCATTTCTTTGCTGGTGATGATAGTGTGTGTACATACATTTCTAACAAATTGCAATGATGAGAAGGCAATTTTATCCCTGCATAGTATTAACAGTTATCCATTGGCTACACAACTTTTTACTGCCAGGGGATGTGAGATTCACCGTGGTTTTTGTTGTTTTTAGTTTCTGATCCATGGAAGATGGTAACTTTTAGTGAATTGCTCCTACAGTTCCGCGCCGCATCATTTCTGCAATATGCACCGGCATTTCCATTCTTACACTCACTTTCCATATGTAATTATGCAAGGCTATGTATAGAAAACACTAAAATCTAATGTATAATTGTGCAAAGATAATGAATAGAACAAACTAAAACCTAATATGAATATCATATTATTTAATAACCAAATGTAAGTGTTCCTTTTCTAATAAATCGAATCAATATCTTGGTAAGCTATGGTTATTTGTTTTATTTGGTTGCTTTCAAAGTAAGCTATGGTCGTTTTTATTTAGTAAGCTATGTGTTTTATTTGGTTGCTTTCCAAGTAGTATCTTCGTTGCTTCCAAAATTGTAAATACGTTTTATTTGTTTTATTTGGTTGCGTTCCAAGTAAGCTATGGTTGTTTTATTTAGTAAGCTATGTGTTTTATTTGGTTGTTTTCCAAGTGGTATCTCCCTTGCTTCCAAAGTTGTAAATACGTTATGTTATGGGGTGAACCCTCCCCAGCTCATGGGCATCAAAGAGGAAAAAAACTCGGCCTCCTTCTCTAGAGCTCTCGAACAATCTCCCCTTTGTTGAGGCTTAACTCCTTCTCTAGAGACCTCGAGCAAAGTACATCATTTCTTCGACACTTGAGTCACCTTTGACTACACCTTCGAGACTTACAACTTCTTCTTTGTTCAACATTTGAGAATTCTCTTAGCATGGCTCTGGTACAATGTTAGAAATCACAAACCTCTACAATGGTATGATATTGTCCACTTTGAGTATAAGTTCTCATGGCTTTGCTTTTGGTTTTCCCATAAGGCCTCGTACCAATAGAGATAATGTTCCTTATAAATCCATGATCTTCCTCTTAATTAGCCAATGTGGGACTACTCCTCTCAATAATCCTCAACCCAACCTACCGAGTTGACACATGTATCTCTTCCAATCAACCCATCGTATAGCCCTAACATGCACGCCAGGAAGGAAAATATATAAATATGGGAAATGATCCTACTTGAGGATAATTGGGTTTGTTCGACACTTGAGTCACCCTTGACTACACATTTGAGGGCTCACAACTTCTTTGTTCTAACACTTATGACTTTGATACTATGTTAGAAATCAGAACGGAAGTTGGCAATTTCACCACCTACGATGTTGATTAGACTTGTTGAGTAGTTATTTTGGGAAGTTACCGATAATGGAAGTTGGTGTGTATTTTGTTTTAACTTTTAGTATTAAGGGGATAGACTCTAGCCCTCTCTCCAAAAGCCTGTGAACTTTTAAATCGTTTAATCAATTTTTGAATATATCTTCTAGTGGTGATAGATAACTAACATAAACCAACACATAATTCACTCGATGGAGAAAATGATGACAACATCAAAGTAAACTAGACTTGAGATCACAACATCAAAGTAAACTAACCTCGCTTCCTTTTAAGTTCTTCCTCAAGCTCTTCTTTCCATTTCCTTTGTCTCTCAGAGAAACTGCAAGCAAGTTTTCCATTATTGACAGTTAAATTTACTTATCACAAATAAAGTAGAAATATAATCCACTAAATTACAACGTTGGTGTGCAAGACTCTGGCTGTGTATGAAGCAATTTGTTCCATTCCCCAATTTGAGGCGACTGAATTTCCTGCAGAGCTCGATCTTGCAATATGCTAGCTTGTTTTATACGGCTCTGACGGCTGGAACAGTTACCAGCATCAATTGATGAGAGTCTTTTACCACGCAGCTTACTTGGTGACCCACATTTGGGAGGCAATTTCAAAAAATTAGATACACTCTTGCTATTCTCAGTGCCAACTGCTCCTAAAGCATTAGCTGCATTAACCGTGCTGCGGAACTCTTCATATAAAGGCGTTTGTAGCTTCTTCAATTCCAAAGCCTAATTTTGATTCCACAGGAAAAATATTAATTCTAATTTAAGAAATATAATGCTGCATTATGCAAGCTTAATAAAGAATACAATAATTCCATCACCCAGAAACATCTTCCAGTATAGAAGTACCTTTTCATCCAGGAAGGCTTGAATCTTCGAGTCTGTAACCTCTTCGTCATCCTCAGCTGTTGATTGACCACATGGAAAAGTGAAGTCATTTCCCTTGCTAGTAGATTCCTGGCCAGTTCGAATACCAGACAATTCCATTAAATTGCCTCTCAGCTCTGAGCTCTCATCCAATTTACATGCCCAGTCATCAGTGGGTTCACACATGGGATTGAAACTCTGGTAAAAATGAAAAGATGCTCATTCTTCTTGGTGTTATTAAAAAAAATAAATAACATAATCAGAGATTCAATGCTTACCTTATTCAAATCATTTGATGATATAATAGATTTGTACTTTATCGATGAACTAGCAAACAGATTTTTATCATCTATCTGGCACATGTCATCCTCAAAATTGCTCGATCCCCAGTTGGACCGTACCTCATAGTTCCCAGAAAATACAGAAGAGCACCTCAAGCTACCCATTTCACAAATATCCTTCAAGCCCTCACAAGTTGAACGTTGGATTATAGACTTTGTTCTGCACATGGCCAACAAAAACCATCAGTCTAGAGTCCACTGTTTAACAGTGGGCAACAAAAATCATCAACTAAACTCAGAAATTTAACAATCATCAATTGAAGTCCTTACATATCCTTAGAATTCAGCCTAGAATCAGCCATCTGTTTCCCAGATTCCTGCAATATCAATGATGTTAAGATGGAATGGTAAAACCATTGAAGAAACTAAAGTTGCCGAGAAATTATACAAACCAAAGAAGAGACACGGACTGCTGCGTGAGGCTCTTGATACTCACATGAGACAAATGGATGCTACATATCCAAAGAAAATGGGTAAGAATAGAGCTACTCTCTAGAACACATAAACACAAGGCTTGACCAATTGATAAGAAACCCTTAAATAATTCAGATATACCTGCAGCAAGTCTGATGCAGTAGGTCTTGAGTTTGGTTCCCTGTGAGCACATTTGAATTAGATAAAGTTTAATTTAACAGAGAATAGAGTAAATGTCTCGATCAATCTTATTGATAATGAAGCTATAATTGGCTCTTCCAGGGGGAAATAATCGAGTGAACAGAAAAGGTCGAGAGTTTTGAAAGTACTCTTGTAGACATTTTAACAGAAAATCTTTCGCCTCAGCAGATAGATGCTCAGGAATGGGTGGATGGGACTTAGTATTCCCTATGTGGAAAAGAGCAGCAACCTGAAAATAAAATTCACTCAATCGATAAAATATTCGAAGAAAGTGCAAGCACATGCATATTAAAGTAAATTCAATTGCTAACCTCTTGATACTGTTGGCTCCATGGAGGTTTCCCCGTTGCCATTTCAATAACAGTACACCCCACACTCCATATATCAGCAGAGCTAAGACATCAAATTAAGAAGAACAAGAGTCTAAATGTTAGTTTCTTAATAAGAAAACTCCATGTTTTTCTTCTGCTACTTTTGTTACATATCCATTATTTCAGAATAAGTTTCAGCACATTTGTATTTCTCCCATTCACATCAATGGCATGGTTTAGATTTCAACACATTAGTATTCTTCCTATGTATTAAAACATATGTCCACGTCAATGGCGTGTAATGAAACAGTGAAAGCCAATAAGAAAGTTCACCATAGGATGATGATTCTTACAAGCTATGTCCGGTCTGGAGAATAACTTCAGGAGCCATCCAATACGGAGTTCCCTTCATTGATTTGGCTCCATTTATAGTTGCCTGCATAGATGCTAATTATTATGTTATGAATGCTAATAATCAATTTAATTAATTAAAGTAGATAAACAATGGGCAATACCAGCTCAACTACTTTCTTGGATGCACCAAAATCTGCAAGTTTAATGCACCCCTTATTGTCTACAAGAATATTTGCACCCTATTTCAAGTAGACATTATTCAGTTAAATTTTTTTGAAAAAAAAAAAAGAAAAAAGAAAAGGAAGGTTAAAAGTTAAAACTCTTCCTTCTCAAAATGGGGTTTTCACTATCACCTTTATATCCCTATGCATAATGCCGTTCTTATGAAGGTACTCAAGTCCCAATAATAGCTGCTTCGTGTAGGTTTTCATAACCTAATTTAGAAAAAATCAATAACCATTAGCAAAATTTCAGCATCAAGTTTACTTTATTTAAATACAGAGAGGTTCAAAGACTAAAGGTACAAATATACAACACTTACAGACTCAGGGAAAGACCCAAATTTCCCTAACAGAGATGATATTGATCCTCCAGGAACAAACTCCAATAGAATATTTAATGAAGATTCCTCTCTAGCAGTTCCCAGATATCTCTAAAATCACAGCAAGGAAAATAAGCAAGGGGCTACCATAACTCTAAACTAAAAGACCCGTAGATTTTACTTACCACAATATTGGGGTGAGAAAGGTTCTTCAAAAGCTTCACTTCCTCCTCCAGCTCCCGTATGTGAGCCTGAATAGTTATGTTGAACATAAAGTGTGAGAGTGTGTTCGATGAATTCAATTCGAACCAAGAAAGTAAAGAAAAATCGCTATCTAATTTCAACTGCAAGTCATCTACATCTAGCAAACTTCAAATTACGAAACGTTCTCTCACCTGCGCTTTCTCCCTTGAAGCACTATTAGCCGCAATTGAGACCTGCAACCGACACAGAGGAATTCAAGAATCAAAATAAAATTTCAAAATCGATTACATATAAAGAATTTCATAAACAAAATCTACAAAAACTGACTTGTTTGATTGCAATAAGCTCTCCAGAATCGAGATTCATCCCCATATAAACTCGACCAAAAGCACCGCATCCAATCAACTCTCCCTTCCGCCACCAAATCGGAGGCGCATCTTCTTTCGCAACCGGAGGCAAAGCCCGCACTGAATGCTTAGAAAACAGTCCATTTCGAGATTTTCGGATGCTGGAGCCAATCCTCTCGACAAGGCCACCGAACTTCCCACCGTCGTCACCGTCGGGCGCTAGAAATACCAAGGATCGACGAACAGATCCGAAGAAATCTTGCATCGTCGTGAAGATTCTCAGATCGCCAGAAGTTGATGGGATCTGTGGAGATGGAATTAGGGGAAATGAGTGTTTAGGGTTCTATGAGACCGATTCTCACTCTGGTAGAGTGGGATTTTGAATGGAGAAAACAACGGTCGAATTTCTTTCTGATTTCAAAATTAAATAATTTGACGAAATTGATGCCTTTATTTGAGTTTTTTTTTATTTGCAGATCTGCCCCTCTAGTTTTTGTAATTTATATTTGCTTCGCCCTCGAAGGTTCCTTTATTGCACGTCAATACATCGGCATAAAAGTTTATTTTTCTATATACAAAGTTGCAATTAATATAATTAAATTGTTTTTTTTAATTTTTTGTTTATGAATAAAAAATATGTTCAAGTTTATTTGCCATATTATTAAATTGTACAATTTAATGTTCGGAATATGATAAAAATATTGTTCACTTTGAGCATAATCCTCACTTATAAACCTATGATCATTCCCTAAATTAGCCGATGTGAGACTTTCATCATCCAACACCTCCCCTTAATCGAGGCTCGACTCCTTTTTTCGACTCCTTTGTTCGACATTCGAAAATTTGTCAATCTATTGGCACGGCTAAGTTTAGGGCATGGCTCTGATACCATGTTAGACGAACACGACTCTCCACAATGGTATGATATTGTCCATTTTGAGCATAAGCTCTCATGGCTTTGCTTTGGGCGTCCCAAAATGCCTCATACCAATGAAGTTAGTATTCCTCACTTATAAACCCATGATCATTCCCAAAATTAGCCGATGTGAGACTTTTATCATCCAACAATTATTTCAATCTCTTGGAAGTATGTGCAATAGGGAATGGGAGAGGGAGCTAGAGAGATTTCTCCCGCTAAACATGGCATGGGACGAGAATTATATGTCTCACCCCCGCCCCCCTCAATACATATGTAACCTAGCTGAACAAGTCAGTCGTGTGAAATTAAGACTTTGCAGACAATATCGACGTATGCTCAAATCCTCAAGTCACGTTTGAGAAATATTGTAGAAAACGAGAGCGATAAAACTGATAATTAGTTAGCATGTAACCCGAGTAGGAAGACTGAACAACTAGTCATGTTCCCTTACGATGACAATTTGGGCATGTGTATCACGGTATTCCCTCGACATAACTACAATCCAGCCTCACGTTGGTATAACATTTCAACCAACTTCTCAATTAGTCACCTTCAAGTGGCAATGCTCCCTTTACACTTCTCTATCAGTCTTGTTACAGCTTCGCAATATATATATATATATATATATATATATATATATATATATATATATATATATATACTTTTGTAATTAAAAATTACATTGAAAGATGAAAATCCAGGTGGAAATAAATATGAAAATTTTCAGACAAAATAAGTTTTTTAAAAATTGATATTTTCAATTTTTTAAAATATCATAATCAATTGTAAAATTATGTATGAAAATAATCATAAATTAATGGATAATAACAATTTAAAGTAATTTAATTTATTACTAAATTACAAATAAACTAATAAATCCCTGTCAAGAGATAAATATGGCGAGAAATTAAAAGATAAGATAAGATATTCAGAAATTAAAATAAAATGAACTATAAAGATGAACAATATCCATGGAAGAGGAAGAACCGAAGAAATCTGACATCCTAATTCTTTACTCTCACAGTCAATGTTGTGTTCTTAATCTCTCAACTTAACGACGACTTTCTTCAAAATTCACAGGAAATTGAATTGAAATTTCGGACCCATAAATCAACGATTCCGATTCCCAAGAAGATACGTATACAATTGCTGCTCTGACGCCGCGCCATATATTATCACTTTCCGTCACTTTCATTCGATTCCTGCCTGCAACCGGATCATCCTCAGTCGTCGTCGTTTGCCGTTTTTCCGGTGGGATGGGGCTTGATCTGGAGTCTCTGTCGGAGGCTACATCCGGAGCCATCGGATCTCTGGTGAGTACCACCGTTTTGTATCCTCTAGATACTTGCAAGACTAAGTATCAAGCGGAGAATCAGTCTAGCCATCAGCGGAAGTACAGGTTCGTTGCTCTCCATTTCCATTTCTATTTTCAAAATTTTAATTAGGTCGGATTCGGTGAGGAAATTTAGTTTTTCTGTTAATGATCTTAGCTCTGGTAAATGCTCGAATGAACTGGTGTTGTTATGGAATTGGGACATTTGGAAGGTAAAATTCTAGGGCAATACACATCTCTGGCGTATTCCAGGTTTAGATGGCATGTGACTCTTGATTTACATAGTAGGTATGAGGTCATGATGTATGAATCGTGTTGTTGGGAACAAAGATGACAATGAGATGTGACGTTGTTGTTTCGCACACGATTGAACATACATGCACTAGCGGAAACGCAGTCGAATAAACTTGGATTCCTCCCAAGTTGTGTTTGGTTGACGAAGGAAAACCTCGCCGACGGTCCGACCAAGCTACAAAGCCGGGCAAAAAATGTGAATAGGACTTGAGTCCCCCTTAACACTTAGTCGTGAGCATGTCAAGATCACGACACCGCATGGTTGAAGGAGTACGATCGTGACATTAGACTTTTTTTGGGCATGCCACCTAAATGAGCGCTTGCTCCCTAGATAATTTATATAACTCGATCACTGATTTATACGAAGTTTACCCACCTAAAATCAACCTAGGAGACAAATACAGTGAGATTCGAACCTTCCATTGCTTGGTCTAAAATATGTACCTAAACTAGTTGATCTATGTTTAAGTTGGCTGGTACTAAATTCTTCGGTTGATGCATTTGATATGCAAGTCGTTGCTATGAAGGTCAGGTGGACATTCATTCTCTAGTAGGCTTAAATGGAATTGCATCATTCACCATTAGAATGTGAGTGAGGAGCGAGTGACCGTGCAGTGAACGGGGTGTACCAAAAATGGGGATAAGGATTGAATGTTGTAAGCGAGCATAGTTCTGTTTAGGCAATCGTTTTTCACAGGATTTCTCGTTACTCATGTCAGCATTCTCACTTCTGGTATCTTTAGGTGTTGTCGCCAAAAACCTTCCGACAAGATAGTTCCAATTGTTGTAGTCTCTTTCTATTTTGATTTAGGCTGTACTGTGGCTTAAACAGACCGCCATAAACACGAGTCAGTGCCATGGCATGGTTCGATTGAAAGAGAAGTTTATGCAGGATTTCTCTTTTTGCCTTATGCAGAAACATATCTGATGTGCTATGGGAAGCTGTTTCAACTGGTCACGTGGGCTCGTTATATCAGGGCATTGGCACAAAGAACTTCCAGTCCTTTATTTCATCGTTCATCTACTTCTATGGATACAGCTTCTTAAAGAGAATGTATTTGAAGAGAAGTGGGAATAAAAAGATTGGAACAAAGGCAAATCTGATCGTTGCTGCAGCAGCTGGGGCTTGTACTGTCGTATTGACACAGGTATTAATAACTAACAACACTTCTTTACTTATATAGATATTTATATTCTAAATTGACATCAACTGGAGACCCTTTTTGTGGGTTTGAAGATAGTACTGTGAGATCCCGCGTCGGTTGGAGAGAGGAACAAAACATTCTTTATAAGGATGTGAAAATCTCTCCCTAGTAGATGCGTTTTAAAAACCTTGAGGGAAAGCCCAAAAAGACGATATCTGCTAGCGATGAGCTTGGGCTGTTACAAATAGTATCAGAGCTAGACACCGGACAGTGTGTCAGCTAGGACAGTGGGCCCCCAAGGGAGGTGGATTGTGAGATCCCACATCAGTTGAAGAGAGGAATAAAACATTTCTTATAAGAGTGTGGAAACCTCTCCTTAGTAGATGCGTTTTAAAAACCTTGAGGGAAAGCTCAAAGAGAACATATCTACTAGCGGTGGACTTGGGCCGTTACAAGTACAATATCCAATAACTTCCTTAAACACAGGTCTTCCAGTGAATTATGTTTTTTGTGTTCTGAGCAAGAAATCTTGGTCCATTTATCATTTCAGCCTTTGGATACAGCATCGTCTCGTATGCAGACAAGCGAGTTCGGGAAGTCCAAAGGATTTTGGAAGACGCTCGCCGAGGGTACTTGGAGTGAAGCGTTTGATGGTCTCGGAATATCCCTTCTTTTGACATCAAACCCATCAATTCAGGTACCTGAGATTGGTTTTGACATAGAACTCTTTTAATGCAATTACTGCTGCATACTTCTAAGAGATCTTTGCTCCAATGTATGCATATCACAGTACACCGTGTTTGATCAACTGAAACAAAGGTTACTCAGGACTCAGCTGACACGTGCATCGGGTATCGAAACGTCCCCGGAAGCTCTCTCAGCCTTCTCTGCTTTCGTGCTTGGCGCCCTCTCGAAATGTGTCGCTACAATCTTGACATACCCTGCTATCAGGTGAAGAATCAAGACATATCCTGTTATGAATCCACACTGTTCTTAAATGCTTCGAAAATCAAGTATATCGGTTTGCATACAGGTGTAAGGTCGTGATCCAGGCTGCAGAATCGGATGAAGAAAGGAACGAAGACAAACAGCACGACGATAAAAAAACCATGTCGGGTGCTCTTAATACGATCTGGAAAAGAGAAGGCTTGCTAGGATTCTTCAAAGGATTACAAGCACAAATACTGAAGACTGTGTTGAGCTCTGCGTTACTTTTGATGATAAAGGAGAAGGTTGCAAAGTCCTCTTGGATCATATTGATTGCACTTAGAAGGTATCTCTTTGTAACCAATACAAGATTAAAGGGTGCTTAAGTTTTAAGTGTTTTTCTAAAGCAATATCTAAAGATTTTAAGAAGGTCCCAATTGGATTTCTGCAATGTAAGAAGGAAAACAGAGTATATTATTTCTTATTCAGTGTCATGCATGGTATGGTATGAAGTTCAATAACATTACCCGCAATAATTGAATTTTGTGTTGATTTGATCCATGAACTTTTATAAGTATCTTATAGGTCACCAACTTTGAAAATTTTGAAAGTTTTTAAAATTTTATATGTAACAGCCCAAGCCCATCGCTACTAGATATTGTTCTTTTTTTCTTTATGAGCTTCTTCTCGAGGTTTTAAAACGCGTCTCTTAAGAAGAGGTTTCAACACCCTTATAAAGAACGTTTTGTTCCTCTTTTCAATTGATGTGGGATCTCACAATC